TATCTGCAATATGAGAGATTAATTACGGAGTTTAAAATAGAGAATTGCGTTGACGGCCATCTGATAAGTGTATTTTAACGAATTATTTAATTTTTTGTTTTTTTTTTCACAAGTAGACTAGAGAATACAGTATTACATCAATACGCATCTCGTGGTCGAGGGTATAAGGTTACGTATCGCAATCACTTAACTTTATAATTGTTGGAATTTCTTACTCGATCTCAAGAGGGGCAATGCCCCGTTTGTCCCCTCTGCGGACGTCCACGTTTGTGACATAGTTCTGTCTAGAGTGAAATATTTAGAAAAATAATTTCAAAAATCTTTCTTCCTTTCACAAGTGAATTTTGTAAAGATAAGAAAGGAGATGAATAGCATTTATGAAAATGTTTAGGGATTTTATTCAGTATGAATGCGATTCATAATTTTAATGACGATGACATCGAACTAATTGGCAAGTCATATCTGATCGAATAGTTAACGGGTTCTGGTTAGTATTATTATATGAAATTATAATGCAAATTATTAAATAAAAATAAATAAATATAGAACTTATTAAAAATCAAAGAGAGTATACATTTTTTCGGGGATCCAATAGTTATGTAGAAGCCGCTATGCCACTCATTTTTAGGGGAGATGGCTATTTTACCCATTGTTTCACATATCTTGGCCGAGCCCGGTTGGGGTTCTGGAAGTTTTATAAAGTTCGAGAGCCATTTATAGTAACGCTCAGTGACCTTGTAACATATTCGCAAACAATCCGTTCCCTTCATTAAGTAAATACACTGGTCTCTGCTACTGGCATTTTTTACAGCTCGTCCAAGATTCGTGAAACGAGCTGTACTTGAACATTTTAAAAGAAACTTTAATTTGTTTATTTTAGTTTTAGATAAAGGAAAGATATTTTGAAAACTAGTTTTTAAGTCTGTCTGTGTATATTAATTAGTGCTAATCATTTATTAAGCAAAAATGATTTACGGATGCCATTCCCAAAATAAAGCGCGTTATCTGTGTCTAAGTATCTCTTGGAATTTAATTCACGTTTTGTTTTACAATTAAAAACTTTCCTAGAGTTACATATAAATCTTTCTAATATGACGTCAAGACTGTAACCACTAGCGCCACCTGTAACGGCTATGGGAACGATATTTATTAAAGTGTTTGATTATAGTTTGCTAAAATTAAGTTATTCAATTACCGAAATTATTTTGTACGTTGCTAAAACTATACTATTAAATAATATAAAAGAAACCTATTCACTATTAAGTAACAAGCTTTGAATTTTATTATTACTATTATTTAGATTATGCGAATATTTATTGTAATTATACCTTATTGAATCTGTCAAATCTATTATTTTCTACGGGAATTTAAATTTTTAATTTTAGTATAATTAAAGAAGTGAAAATATATGTACTGTACATTTGGTTTTTATCAATATAACATTCCAGTATTCTAAAATTTCACTTATTTCAGAAGTTGTAAGAAGACATATTTGTAACAAATTGCCAGTGATAGATATTAAATGTAGAATTATATCCTGCAAATATGTAGCAAGAAGTATAATGTGTAATTAGGTTAATTTTGTCAGTGAATAAAATAATAATAATATTAATAATATATCTAATGTAATCGTTCTCATATTTTATTTTGTAGATTGAGGTGTTAAACAAGCATTTGCTTCTCACTTCAAAACCTATGATCTATCTCATAAATATGACCGAAAAAGATTATCTCAAGAAAAAAAATAAGTGGTGAGTGATATTTGATATCTTTAAATTAATTCACGGACACTGGTATAAATTAATTTGGTAATATATAGCCCGACGTGCTCGATACAAACGAGATCTCTTACCCGTTAGAAGGTGCATCCAATCCCGGCCGGCTAACAATAAACAACGGCCAGACAATTTCCTCGGCATGATACTCTTAACAGATTACGCTTGTGTTAAATCCAAAGGTGGTTTGGGACGTACTAGACAAGACTGGATAGAACTATTGTCCCTTCCACTATTTAAAGCTAGAACAGCAGTCAGATGATATCAATAAGTATTGGGTTGGACCTGCTAATAACAGGATGGAGAATCTGGGGGTTGAGAAAGATGACTACCCAGAAGAGACTTGTGTCAGCTCTAATAACATACTTTACAATTTCCCACCCCGTGGAAATGTGGCTTGCATCAACTATGAAGCAAAAGTCTGAACAACGAAAATAAAAAAAATTAGGTCAAAGGAGAAGTTACGGCAAAATCGTTCTCTTTGGAGTTGCGTGTAGATGGCCGACACATCATTGGAAGTCTGTCACCACCCGTGGGCAGGAGTTGTAATTTTGCATGGATGGCTGCCACTGGGCAATTATTTCGCAGATGTTGATGACAGAAACCGATGTCCATCCAGGAGATGTTCAACACAATGCATTGTTTGCCTAATGCAGGTTTTGTTTACTATACAAATACTTCAAGTTTTTCTTTTCTTTGTTTTAACTTACGACGTAAAAACACGACAGGTTTTCGTCCATATAAAATGATTTGAATGTTTGTCTAGCATATCGCAGTCCATAAATTGCACCCGAGCCTATTTAATTACAGGTTTCGAAGTGACTCGAGGCAAATTTATCTACAGAAATACGGCAATGATAACATATAATGATATATAAATCTTTTTAACTATTAGACTGTTAAAGAATTAGAAAATTAAGTATTTCTGATGCAAATATATTTTTCATTTGGCAACGATTCAAATCAAAAGACATTAAATTGCAAACAATGCATGTAATTGCCCTTCATGTTTTTGACCTAGTCCTCCATTTCAATAGGACATCACAAATTCAATTTTGATCATTCCAGAGAGTTGTTTCGTACGGGTGTGAGGATTATATCACGCAACATATTTGAAGTCATTCTTTGATTGTTTCGAATCTTGGGAGATTTGATTAATTGCAGAGAGCGAAGTCTGTTTTGAACTATTAATGAAATGCAACTTTATTAGTTTTCCACCCTCCTCTCAGAACTGCATGCTTGTAATTCTAAACTCTCCTAGCCAGATAAGGGATTACCAATTAAAAGGGGCAGAGTCCACCTGGGGGCAAGGGATGGGACCAAACCAGCTGCCTCATACCCTCAACCTGTAATCAGATCTCATTTGCTTGTTGTAAAGGATATCCAAAGTGACCAAACCAAATAGGCTAGCAAATGGTACTAGCCTCATTAATCTATATGTACTCACAAATAAATAGAATGTGGAACTTCCTAACTTCTTGTGATAATTTGTTTTCATTCATTTTTTTTAATAATTGAAATTTGTAATTCTTAGGTATTATCACTACTACAATGAAAAAGTATCAGAAATGTGAATAAATTATGTGAATGCATTTCTCTTTTTAAGTTATTTAAATAATTTGTATGAATAAAACAGAATAAGTGGGTTTGTAAATATTTATATATTTTCATAGAAACAAGTTTTATTATTTTCAGGTTAACAAAAATTAAAGCCTGGGTTGATGGCAATGATGCGGGTGCATCCGTAATCCCTTTTAGTGCTGGATTGGAATTACGGCTAACAGAAATGAATAAAGACGAGAAAAAGAGCTTTTTGGAAGAAAACAAAACTCACAGGTATTAAATATCGTATTAAGTTTAATTATTTTGTTAAAATTTGAGCATTTTCTGTTGTTATCGATTGATTAAAAATTCTAGTGAGTTAATTTATTTAATTGTTGATTTATCATATATAGCCAAGGAAAACCTATTTTTCTTCTTTAACCCACATTATGAATGTAATGAAAGATTTCATAACGTTTAATCTAAATAATTCTCATGAATAGTTTAACATATGTTTATTTAATTTGCAAATTTTCTAAGTTTAGCAGTGTAGATTTAGTATGGAAACAAGTTTAGCAAAGCATAAACCCAGACAAAGTGGGTTGTTGTTCGGGAGCAGAATGAATCCTGTCTGTCACCATTTGTCTTGTCCAACAGGACCGGTGTCCCATTATCATCCCAAAGCATCTCCTCACACAGCGCTGATGCAGTAATTTACGTCCCTTGTCAGCCAGTTATTAGGAGGCTCATAGAGGCGATCCTGACACCCCGAAATTAGCACCCTACCCATAGTGATTTGCATAGCGAATCCAGTCGGGGTCTTGTCACATTGAAGGATGTCGGGGAGTACGCCCCCACGCTGTCCGTTTTGGGTGGAGACACATTTCCCCACTTAAATAAGACAACGGATGCGGACGATCGGACAGACGGGGAAGATTCGGTACCGAATCCGTACTCCGTCGGAGGGATCGGGTCGTGGAGAGAAATCACGTGACGCGACGCAAACGCTCCCGGACCAGTCTGTCAAGATAAGTGCCGTGATGGATGGAGTCCGTGAGTTTGGACGCCGGTGGAAAAATATTTTCGGCCGCCGTAACACGTGACCCGGCTCCGGCTCCCCTCTCCCGCTCCGGACCCCCGGCAGTAAATCCCCCATCGTGACACCTCGGTAATAGGTTGCAATTAATTGATGGGTTTCACTCCCAGAGCGCACAATACATCACCCACCTGAGATTCGTCCAACCCCGCGCCCCGGACCACGTGGGTGGGGTCAGAGCCTCCTCTCCGTCTGGCGTCTACGAAATCCGATATCCTGGCCCCCCTTCTCCCGGTCGAGAATCCTTACCGGTGCGTATTCCCGAGATGCGGTTTGACTGCAACCCTAATCCTCTTATTGGGATTGGGTCGGGCGCGGTGGTCCGTTGTATTTCCACGCGTGCGGGGGGTGCGTAGGGCGCGGACACCGGCCACCGACTATACAAGACCATCTGTTTGCAGCCGCATTGTGACCAGCCTGGCATTGTCGGGACCCGCACTTGTCGTTTGTTAGTTTGGTGTTAATCCGGATTAAACAGATTGATCAATCTGACCAAGTTAAGCGCATTTGACACGGATGTCATTTTGCCGTTTCGGGGATGACATCTCCATCGGCTCCTCCCTAAAATGTTTGCCGTGGCTTTGTTGCAGCTTACCTATTTTAGAATAAGGCATGTGAAAGCGAAAACAGCATGCTTATTTGTGTTTTTATTTGCAGTATGTTGGACAAGATAATCACAACGGGCTACAAAGCGTTGCATTTGATTTACTTCTTTACCTGTGGCAAAGACGAAGTCAAAGCGTGGACCATACAGGTAGGTAGTGCCATCTATCGATTCTTTTTGTTATCGTTTCTCTTTTATTCTGCCATTCCACCCACCGAGTGTCGAGCGCACACATAATATTGTTCCGGATATCTTCCCCGCCGATAATTTGGCGGGTAACGTCACGGGAAGGGAGGAACCATTTATTTTGCGTCGCTTGTCAACTGCAGTTTGCAAAGACACGGTCCAGGGAACCACCCCTGCCATCCGCACTCTGCTCGTCAACACCTGTCTCGGACGCGGGGGATTTTTTCTCCCCCAACCCCTGCACCATTTAAGGAAGCGACGGCGTCTCTTCCAGGGCCTTTTTTGCACTCGAGCCCTATCCGGCCCGTTTACTGCCCCGCGGCGCCTCCATTTTCCGGAGGTGATGGATGAACTCGCGTTTGACTGCTGTATATACGATGCGCTTGACACCATTATGAATTGTGCCGGGGTCGAGTCTTTGGTCCCCCGCGTCTAATTTTTTGAGAACCAACCACTTTACATAACGTTCCGCCATCTATCGGTCACCATTGTAACGACCGACGGTGGCACAAGTTTCGAATTTATCGTAATTCGTGCGCTTTACTGTTTTAAAATATTAAATTATGAAATAAAATTTAACGCTTTCAGTTATGGATTATTCGTGCAAGTTACTTTTTAATAATCTCGATTCGTTTTCCAACGTGATTGCACATAATTTAAATGAACATGTAAAATCGTATTTAAACTATCACATATGTTAGTTCAGACACGAATCGAGAGATGGCGACATCTGACCGATAGCATTATAGTTTCTAGATTTTACAGCTTTATTTGATTTTATTTTTACACAGTTTATATTTTAAAATGATTATTACTTATATACGAGTTATTTACCAGATTTGATGTAACAACAAAACAGCATTTTTTAAATATACAATACACGGAGAGAAAAAAAGTTAACAATGGACTAAACATGGCGTCCTGGGTTAGAAAGTGCCTCTTTATACTGTATACGCGTTTCAAATCGTATCATTGTCGCTTCGTCGGAAATTTTAATTTTGATTCTTCTTGCTTTAAACTGCTTTCAGAAAGGAACGAAGGCGCCTCAGGCGGGCGGAAAAATTCACACCGACTTTGAAAAAGGCTTCATTATGGCAGAAGTGATGAAATACGAGGATTTTAAAGAGGAAGGCTCGGAAGCGGCAGTAAAGGTATATTCAGTTTCGTTTGTTGTCGCCAGATGGAAGCACTGTACGTATGTAATGACGGTTACTTTTTTCCCCCGTAGGCAGCGGGAAAATACCGACAGCAAGGACGTAACTACGTGGTGGAAGACGGAGACATCATCCTTTTCAAATTCAATGCCGGAGCTGGCCTACAGTCCAAAAAGAAGTAGACTTGTATAAACTGCAATCTCCTTTTTTCGTACCACGCAGATCACTCACGGAGGCTGCTTTGTTAAATATATTTATGTTTAAAGTTGGAATAAATGACTTGAAATGATTTTCTCTATTATTTTTATTTTGGCATAAATAATTACTATTGCTAATTATCTACGTAATGAATTTGTCTGGTGAAATGAAAAATATGAGATTAAAATTCATTAACATTCTACCGAAAATTTTAATCTCATTTTGTTTTTTTATTCCAAATTATGAAGTATTCTTACTCTTTTCTACATTTTCTCATATACATAAGGAAATAATCGTTTTAAAAAATTGTTAGTTTTATGTTCTATCCGTGCTGCTGCAACGTCACAAATTCAGCTAAACACTTAAATGAAATTTCCATTAAAAATTGCCGAAAAAAAAAAGATTCGGTGGTACAAGCGGTGTAAAAGTTACAAATAGGCATGATTATTTATTAACTAACCGCGTATGAAATGACAAAATATTTTTGGACTATAAATTTTGATCGGATGCAACAAGATCTGATAAAAAACAATACGGTTTTAACTTACGTAGATGATAAACCGATAAACGATAGCGTTGTAGCAAAAAACAGAAAAGAAAACTCCCAACGATATTAGTAACAGTATAGTTATCGCTGTTTGGCATTTAATGGCTCTAGGATGTAAAAAATTATTTTGCGATAAAGATGTAAAAAAAATTAAGCCGATAAGCTAAATTATATTAACTCTGAAAATTACTCTAACCTAGCAAAATATCGAGTTCAATGATTTTCTAAGAACGAAATCAATACGAAAATACCGTATTTAGAGGTATGAATTTTTAGTATGTTTTCTATCTACCATTTTTCGTTGACGAGTGAATTGCATATAAAGAAAATGAAAACGTTGTTTTATTAGAAGGCTCTCCAAATAAGTAAAATTGCATAAAGATTGCAATAGTAGGAACAAAGCGATATTCTATTACGTAAAATATGAGTTATAATTGAACGCTTCGGTAAACTAATATCCAATCCGGTAGGGTAACAAGTTATATAGTCTCTTAGAATAAGAATGGAACCGATGGTAATTAGTCTACCTACGCGAAGAAAAATAGTACAGAGTTTACTACGAAGTAGGGCATTCTGTATATTTGGAAATTGTTATCTTCTCTGAAATTTTCAACGATATTGCGATTAGGAAAGAAAAAAAAAATCATACGACGTCATATTATGAAATGTTTTAATTTTCGAAGTTTTTAGTCTTGAAACAGCTTTATTGCTTGGCTACGATGGCGGAGTGATACACACCCAAGATCTATCGCGTCGTCTCCATTCTTATTCTAGGAAACACTATAGGATATCGCTATCGCCATCTGTTGTTCGTTTGAAAAAACTCGGTGATTTTTAATTAGACAAGTTTTTAATGCAATTAATTTGAAAGGAAATAATGATTTTTGATTGTAAAATAATAATTAATTTTTTTTACAAGCTGGTAATCTTATAATAAATCTGTTCGACTATAAAAATTGAATTTTTAATTACTTTTGTGATTAAATTTGTATTTATATCGTTCGAATTAAACAGAGGTGCTTCGGCGTAAATATAAAATAATTTTAGCAGCAATTAATCAAACCAGTTAATAATTCGATTATATATTATTTTAAAAATGGCAGATAATTAATTGCGAAAATATACGTTTATGCATATCATTGACAATTAATTATCGCTCTACTTGAATTTTTGCCGGATCACGCAACTCTGCGCCACTATTACCAGAAAAATGTTGAAAGAATGCAATTTAAACGTGGAGTTAAAATTTTGTTTTAAAAATTTTAAATAAATAGCGCCACGATCGAGACGAACATCGATTTGAGCCGCTAGCAGATCGATAATTTTATCAATAAAGAACCCAGTAACTTTCCCGACAAAAGGCACTGCCAATAAAAAGATTGCGGTTTGTGCGTTGAGGATAATATATAACAATTTGAAGTAAATTCTTATTTATTAAATTGTTAGAAAATTGATATAGTTGAGCATCTGTCATGATGAAATAATTGAAAAGTTTGAATTATCTTTTATTATTGTAAAATATAGAAAGAAATTTTACTATTGTTAAGTGCTAATTAGGTATAAAACCAAACGCGATATGTACTAATAATCAATTATACGGGCGGATTTCAGTTGGGCTATAATATGGTTAATTAATTAGTCATATTATAGCCCAAGAAAGGTCCAATACATAAATGTAAATTTTAATTAAGAATAAAATGAATTCTATGGTAGTAGTGCTAGAATTAACACAAGCATAGACAAGTGCTAATATTAGTAAAAGTAAAGTAAATAGAATTTGGAAAAACTGAAAAGCAAAATGGTGTCAGTGAGAATTCGTAGCGCGTCGTTGGTTCTATGTTCTTCGATACGTTTTATACGATTCGAATTAACAACTAAAATCAAAGATTTAAACGAAAATTAAATTTATATTGAGTAATTCTAGTGTTTAATTGACTAAATATGTAATGTATCAATTAAAATGAATGTATGTCTGTGCTGTATGATAAATTTACACGAGTTTTGTATTGATGAGGAAAGTTTTTTAATTAAAATGTTAATGAAAATATTGGAAAAATCAGACAAATATAATAATTTTCATTAGAAAATAAATGTACTGTATTTCTGGATAATAAATAAAAATACCGTAATTTATGTCGAAAGTTTCGATCTGGAGTGTTAAAAATAAAATTTGATGAAATGTTAAGATAAAATATCAAATATATTTTGAATTAAATTAATTAATTATTTATTTAAAAAATCATTGGAAAGACAAATTTATACAAACAAATGTTCTTTGTATTAATGTGTACAGAATTGTTCAATGTAAACATGTTATACAGAAGAATATTTTAAACCATTCGTCGTGGAAAATTCAAAGAAATGTAATAATTGAGGAGTGAAAATATCAAAACTTTTAAATGCTAAAATAATGAATTGAAACATTATATTCTCTTTAAAAACATCCAAACTCTGTGCAGTAGTTAACAAATAATTCAGAAAATAAAAATATGTTTAAGACTGAATAATTAATCCCTTTTACGTACTGAAATGTGTAAAAAGGAACATTTACCGAAATTTAACGCAATTTTTAAACCAAATTAATACAGGAGAAAATTTTTTGAAATTTGCGAAAATTCTAAATGTAAATTTCAACTAAGAACAAGCAATTATTTATTATGACATTTTCAAAATGCCGGGCTGCAATTTTTAATTATATTTTAAATTTATTTAATTTAAAATATGTTCTCCGCCACAAATTAGTAGTGGCTTGCCCCTGTACATCATACTTTTCCGTTAGCAATGGAGTCATGCCAATCATCTATCTAGCACCTTTCTGGGGAAAAGTTTTGAATTAAAATAACGTAACNTTTGAAATTTGCGAAAATTCTAAATGTAAATTTCAACTAAGAACAAGCAATTATTTATTATGACATTTTCAAAATGCCGGGCTGCAATTTTTAATTATATTTTAAATTTATTTAATTTAAAATATGATTAAAAGTCATATTTATAATTTATTTAATTTAAAATATGTTCTCCGCCACAAATTAGTAGTGGCTTGCCCCTGTACATCATACTTTTCCTGATAACAACAGAGTCATGCCAGTCATCTATGTAACTCCTTTCTGGGGAAAAGTTTTGAATTAAAATAACGTAACTTCCGGTTTGCATTGGAAGTTCGTATATAGTTAATCGGGCCTCCTAACTTTAATCTT